GGACCGTAGGACCCTGCAGACCCCCCGGGCGGGCGGTAGGACCCTGCGGGGGTCGGTGGGACCCCCGGGCGGGCGGTAGGACCCTGCAGACCCCCGGGCGGGCGGTAGGACCCTGCGGGGGTCGGTGGGACCCCCGGGCGGGCGGTAGGACCCTGCGGGGGGTGTGACCCCGCGGGTGGGCGGCGCTAAGACCGCGTGGCCCCGCCCCGCTCCCGGACTGCCCTTCCCGCCTGGCCCCGCGCGCGCGGCCCCGCCCCTCCCTGGGCGCGGCCCCGGAGACCCCGTAGCGAGGGGCGGGTGCGCGCGCAGCGGCGGCGCTGAGGGAGCGCGAGCGCGCGGCGGGGGGGCCGGGCCGGGCTGGGGGCGGCGGGGGGGGAACCGGGACACGGACACCGGGACACGGCCGGCAGCGCCCGCCCGCGGCCCCGCCACCCGCCGCTGGCACCGCCGCCGCCGCAGGGCACAGCCGGGCGCGGCCCCGGAGGAGCCGCCGCCGCCATGAACAGCGTGGGAGGCGCCGATGAGATCGGGTGAGGGGAAGGGGGGGGGCGACGCGCCGGGACGGGGAGGGAGGGGGGGGTCGGTCTCGGTCACCTTTCCCCGCAGGCTGGAGCGAAGGTCGCGCCGGGGCTCCCCCGGGCCGGAGGATGCTCATGGGGCCCGGTGCCGGACCGCTGAGGGGTGTCTGGTGCGGGGTCGGGGGGCGCTGAGGGGGAGCCGGTGCGGGGTCAGGGGGTTAAGGCGGGGCTGTTCCCGAGTCGGGAGGTGCTGAGGGGGGGCCGGTCCTGGATCGGGGTTGCTGAGGATGGAGGGGGGGGGAGCGTCCGTCCCGCGTCAGGGGCTGTTGAGGGCGGGCCGGTGCCGGGTCCGGGGGGCTCAGGGGGTCCCGGTGCCGGTGCCGGGGGTGCTGAGGGGGGGTCTGGTCCCGCCGTGAGGGCGCCCCGGTGCCTCGGGCCCCCCCCCCCGGTCACGTGACCGGCGCGCGCGGGGCTGCGGCAGGTGCGCGCGCCCAAGGTCACCCGCCCGCGGCGCTTCCCGCGCCCGCCCGCACCGCGCCCGCCCGCGCGGGGCACTGCGGGAGCGACCCCCGGCCCGGGCACCGCCACCGTCCCGCTCCGCTCCCCGCGCTGGCCCGGCCTCACCTTGAGTCCTGCGTGCAGTTCTGGCCGCCACAGCGTGAGAAGAGGATTAAAGCCATTAGAGAGCGCCCAGAGGAGATGCTGAAGGGCCCTGAGGGGAAGAAGCCGTGTGAGGAGCGGCTGAGGGCTCCTGGTGTGTTCAGGCTGAGGGGGGACCTCGTTGCAGTTACAACTTGCCCGTGAGGGGAAGCGGAGGGGCAGGCACTGAGCTGTGCTCCCTGTGAGCAGCGATGGGACCATGTGGGTCCCTTCCAACCCAGAGCGGTCTGTGATTCTGTGAACCCGCCTGTGGGACCTTGTTCCAGTGACTCATCAGGGCCACCCCGAGGGGCTCCTCATGGAGAGGAGGGGGCACTGAGAGCCTCCCCTCACCCCCCATGTCCCCCAGCCGTGCCACCCTCCTGAGCTCCCCTCTGCTGTCCTCTGCGTGGGATGGGCTCCAGGCAGGAAAATCCCGGGTTTAAGGATTCCAGGGGGTTTTGTGCCTTCAAACCAATAACCTGACACAGGTCGGGTTCTTCTGAGGTGTGTTAGCAGTCATAGAAAGGCTTGGGTTGGAAGGGACCTCGTGGACCATCCAGTTCCATTCAGTATTGTGCTACTTCAGAGCCATATCCAAAAGCCTGTGACATTGAAATGATCAGACTGCAGACTTGGGCATGAGAGAACTCTAAGTAGCAAAAACAAAATTAAAAGACCTCTGGCTGGTTCTTCCACTGCACGTTTTGGCACAGAATTTGCTCCTCAGGACTGGTCACCTTGTTTGAAAGTGGAGCAGACACGAACCACCCACCCCGAGCTGCCTGCAGTGCCTTGTAAGCTGCTTATTTACTTCTTGTTCTTAATTTGTAAATCCTAAAAATACAGGAGGCAAGATAAGCGATTGGAATATCGCGTTGGAATGGTCTGGGTTGGAAGGGATCTTAAAGATCATCTGGTTCCAACACAGGCCTGTTTAAATATGTAGGTTTGGCTCTGAAAGTGTTTTTGTTTGCACCTGGGCCTTAACCACTGTCTGGTGCCTTCTGAGAGACCTGATCAGGTCTGCCCTCCCAGGCTTAGGTGAGTGCCAGGCTCCAAGTTATTCCATGAACTGTCATCAGCTCCCCTCCTGAGCAGGCTCGGCTGTCCCAGGGCTCGTTCCTGGAGGGCTGTTTAGGATGTGATCCTTGGAGCTGTAGTCAGGTTGGGACGGATTGGGGGTTAATCAGAGAGGGAAATTTCTTTATCCTCCTCCCCCAAAAGTGCTCAGAGGGAAAGGTGAGAGAGTAAAACAAAGGGCAGCTCTGCTCAGCTGCTTCGGCCTGGGGAGGAAGTTCTGGTTCAAAGCTTTGGGAGAGGCGGCTCTGAATGGGAAGTTGGGAATTCAGCTGCTTTTCAGATCCTAAGAAAAACCTCTTAGGGAGGCTGTAGGTCTTGCAGGTGCGTTGGTATGGACGAGGGGGCCTTGTGAGAGTTATTTGTTGTAGTTATTTAGTACTTAGGACTGTTTTGGATGGAAGAAAAGGGCTGATCTCTGTCCTTCTGTCCTGCAGCTGAGACATCAGAGGCGTTAATCAAACCCCAGGTTATCTATGTAGGCGAAGAGTTGTTGCTTTTGTTGGGTTTTGGTGTTCTACAATATCTTTTTTACTAATTCTGGGATTATTTGCTCCAGCAGCAAGTACGTTTTTAGCAACAAAGAATAAATTAGCAATTAAAATTCTCACAGGAAGTAGTGAGGCGGAACTTCTGAGGAGTCATTATCCCGCTTCCTGCTCCTGAAGGGATCCCTGTGGGGAATTCTGCTGCACCTGGCAGGGTCTCACACAGCACACACCGTTCCTGGGGGACAGACAGACCTGCCCAAAGCACGGGCTGGTGGGTCCTGTTGTCACCTGGCTGTGCTGGGAATGGCTTTGCATTCCACTGGGGATGGACTGTGGCATGCTCTGACACTCCAGTCTGGAACTCTGGAGCTCTGGGGGTGTCAGTGGGTGTGAGGACAGTGGTGTCAGTGGGTGCAAACCAGTAATGTGGGAGAGGAGCTGGGGGCAGACCCGTGAGGGTCTGCAGGTTCCTCTCGAGGGGCAGCTCCAATCTCTGCTCTCTGTGAGCAGGGACAGGACCCAGGGAACAGCTGGAGCTGTGTCAGGGGAGGGTCAGGTTGGGTATCAGGGAAAGGCTCTTCCCCCAGAGGGTGGTTGGGCACTGAACAGACTCTCCAGGGCAGTGGGCACAACCCCAAGGCTGCCAGAGCTCCAGGAGGGTTTGGATGATCCTCTGGGGGACAGAGTGGGATTGTTGGGGTGTCTGTGCAGGGCCAGAAGCTGGACTCAGTCCTTATTGATCCCTTCCAACGCAGGATATTCTATAAATTTAATAGCTACCAGCCCATAAGCTGTTTGGAGCAGAAGTTTTTCAGGATGCAGTGTGGGTAAGACCTTGGGAAGGGGCTGCTGATGGTGCTGAGCTCAGGCATCGAGCACTCACACAACCATCCTGCCACACAGCTGTCCTGCACGGTACCACATCTGGAGCCTTGTGAACTCTGCAGCTAATGGGATTGGTGAACTCTGACCCTGCTCTCTGTGTTCAAACCAATCCATGGAGGAGCCCAAGGCAGGGGATTCCTGGCTTTGGCATTCCATAGCTGTGGATTTCCGTGCAGCTGCTGGAGCTGGCCCTGGGCAGCCCAGCTTTTCTGTCCCAGTCCAAGTAGGGTGACTACAAATAATTAATAGTGGGGTGGGAAGGTTTCAGTGACCTCCCTCCCTGCACAGCTTGGTGTTCTCTCAGAATGCAGCTGGTGCTTCTAGATTGATCTAAAATAGGTTGATCGTCTGTACCAAGCTATCAGATTTAGTTAAACACCCAAACCCAGTCCATGAGCTCAAATGCAGTTGGTCAAGACAGTCACTAACACACACCAGAACTTCAATGTGAGTGTAGCATTAGATCAGCACTTTTCCCTTTGCTATTGGGAAATAGAGTTATTTCCCCACAGAACTTACTTTCCCCGAAAACAACAGCACAAGGAGCACAGAGCTCTGTGTGTGTTCTGTGCGTGGAGAGGGACGGCTGTGGAAGCCCCCAGGAGATCCAGGTGAAGTTGGGCTGTCCCAGAACACGACCTGTTGCTGAGGGCTGGCGGGTGTTGAGCAAGGCCCTGAGCCCGTGCCAGGAGCCCGAGCGCTGCCAGAGGGAGCAGGGGGCACTTTTCCAATCCTTGAGGAAAACTTCATCATCCCGAACGGGCAAGTAGAAAACAGGCCTGGCTTGAGAGAGGGCAGGGGAGGGGGGACACGTCCTGGGTGTGCCACTCTCAGAGGGGCCTGGGGAGGGGGGCCCTGTCCCCGTGCAGTACGATAAGGCAGGAGCAGATGCAGCCGGTGTCTGCCCTGACACTGAGGGCTGTGCTTGCTTTGCGTGTCACCAGCTCAGTTGTTTTCTGGCTGCTCAAGGAGACGCTTTGATCAGCTCTTAACAGTTGGTCTGTTTTTTTGAAAGACAAGACTTGTGTCACGTCCCAGCCACTGACTTAGGAGCAGAATTTGCCCTGATGGAACAAGGCTCGTAGGTGCTGTGCAGTGTTGGATTTAGTCCCCTGGCTGGTGCAGAAGGGTCGTGACGTGATGTCACCTCACAGAAGTGAATCAGAGTGGAAGGGTCTGTCAGGGAGCTGCCCTGCTCAGCAGGACCTTTCAGTTGCCAGGCTTTCAGTGCCCTGGTGCTCCCAGTGCACCTGCAGCTCTGGCTGGGGTGACTGGGCTCTCACTGCCATTACCTGCTCCTGAAAAGGGCAGGTGAGAGGAAGTTTAATTTTTTTTGTTAGGAGGAATCCCACCCTGTTCCTGAGAACATTGTCCAAACACTCCTGGAGCTCTGGCAGCCTTGGGGCTGTGCCCACTACCCTGGGCAGCCTGTTCAGTGTCCCACCACCCTCTGGGGCAAGAACCTTTCCCTGAGATCCATCCCAAACCCTCCTGACACAACTCCAGCCATTCCCTGGGTCCTGTCCCTGCTCAAAGAGAGCAGAGATTGGAGCTGCCCATCCCAGGAAGCTGCAGACCCCCACGGGAGGCTTTTCTTTTTTTGAGTTGGTGCTTCATGCAGAAAGGGCTGAGTGTTGAGGTGGCTGTAACCAACCTTTAATTACAGAGTAAATGACTTTGGTGGAAGTTTTGTCACACCCAGAAGTTGATAAAGAGGTGCAGAGCTGGCAGCCTGGCAGGGAGCTCCTCTGAGCACTCACCCAGGCACTTGGGCATGCTGTGACATGAAACCCTGCAGATTTGGGTGCTCTTTGCAGAAGATGAGTTGTTTCAGTTTTAAGCAGTTTGGTTTGGGGTTTAGCCATGGCTTTCTCATCTGCTTGGCGA